TAACAAAGACGGAAATAAGAAGACGCTGCCGATTATTCGTAATAGAGGTCTCATTTTGAACAGGATTTGTATAAAGTGAATTCTAATAGTAGAAATTTTTCAAGTAAGTTTTTACTATTCTTTCAAAATAACAAACACGTATCAAGCACTTTGTTTATCATTTGTACCAAGCTAGATAGCTATTGCATCAAGGTAGTTTTAACAAATTTTTGACAAATGTGGCTTAGAGATTTTTCTAAAAATAACCGCTACAAAGTGTTGAAATCCACAATTAAGAAACAAAAATACGACTTTGTACTTACAATTTATTTATTATCTAAATTATTTCTGGAATTGTTTCATTCCAAACATAAGACCATAGTGTTGATCATGTATTCTAGTTGAAAGGTTGAAGAAATGTACAGCAGATTTTCGGAAAACTAACTTTTAAACCCTAGAAGCCAACCTTTTGGAGATAAACAGAAAAAATGAAATATCTCAAAAACTATTAACTTTTGCATAGTCCATATTAGGGTTGAATTCACTTCCTATCACCTCCCCTATCACATCACCAAAGGAATGTATCGAATTACCAGTAACCCTGTATAATCTTCCCAATATTGATTTGTCCTTTTTCCTGTCCCAGAAAAAAAATGTTGTATTATACACGGGAAAATATTAGATTTTAGCTCACGGGAGACAACACAACCTGGATCTAAAATCTATTACTTATTTCCTTGTTTATTAACTAACTATTTTACAAGTTATAAATTCGTATTCAGTCATAAAACAGAATTTGCAGCTAGATGAATGGACATCTGTATGTGCATGTGTCCAAAACACTAACTTATAAGTAAGCCAGTTATGCACAAAGGAGAGTACTTAATTATTACTAATTGGTTTTCAGCAGTAATGATATTAGTAAAATATATATACAAGGTGGCATTGAAATAAGTGCAATTATTTCAAACACTGAGAAAGCTTGACGTCTACTATCAAATGGCACTAATAAAAAAAATTAGGGATCGAAATAAAATTTGAGGTTAGACCCCTTTTTCCACCCAAAGTTCTACACTGTAGTGTAGCAAATCTGACGTCACCTCTGTTCAAATTTCCATGTGGTAAGCACAATCACGCGCGGAGTTCAATCATTTAAATTGTTTTAAAGTGGAGTACTTGCTTTATTTCTTGTATTTTGTACAATTTTTGGGATGGAATTTCTGCTTAGTTAGAAGAATTTGAAAAAATCTGATATCATGGGAATATTCCTCAGATTGTATCATATTGATGTGCTGAATAAGTGCACTTATTTCAAAAACACCTTATATATAACATTAATATTCAAATATAGGTATATTCTAATAAAAAAATCTAAATTGATATCAATGAGCATAATAGTAATAGTTATAATGAAGATTATGAAACAGGAGAACTGGAATGTAGGAATAGTAATCTGTTAGATATGCAGGAAGAAATAGTAATATATAATAGGTAGATGATGATCAGTTTTTTAGAGAGGAACATCATTTTGAATAGTGCTGTGCGTTTATTGAGATAAAATCATATTAGAAGTTATTCATGCTTTTGAATCTCCATTTGCAAAAAATCTGCTCATTCGGAATTAACAAGATGGGATTATTTGTTTCATTTAATACAAGCGAAAAAAGTAGTAGATTTTAGCTCCAGGTTGTGTTGTCTCCTGACGCGTAGTGATGGGAGACAACAAACCATGAGCTAAAATCTAATATTTTTCCCGTGTATAATACACTATTTTTTTCTGTGACAGAAGAAAGGACAAATCAATATTGAGTATATAGGGACACCTGCGTTGTAGGCATCTTTATCATTCTTTTGAAGTAATTAAATATCTGATGTCACTTCTGTCAGTCTAATTCTGTGATTTGATTTCAAAAAATTGCGAATTTAGTGGTTGTTTAGTAATATACAGTGTGACCCATTTAAGATGGAAGCACCCTTATAAAACTTACATTTTTCAACCGATTGGAATGATTTTTTTTTTGTTAGGTAGATATTCAAAAAGTCTATTAGGACACCAAATATCATGAATAAATCTCCATTTCCAGAGCCAACTAATCTGATTTTTCAAGGTCAAAAATCTAGAAAAATTACTAGCGATTTTTTTAGAAAAAATCTGACTACACCACTGGATTTGTGACATTTTCAAATGGGTAACATATAAATTACGTTGAAATGCGTCAATCAATAAAAAAGTTATAAAGGAATGAAATTTGAAAAATATGCCGTTTAATCAACCCACCAATTCATGTTTAAATCCTTGAATCCCAATTCATGTTCAGGAATTTTATGAAAATTCTGTATACTCCACTGGATTCAGGATGTCTTGAAATATTACTGATCACAGTTTCATCGAAATCTGTTCAGTAATAAAAATTGATGGGTTGATTAAACGGCATATTTTTCAAATTTCATTCCTTTATAACTTTTTTATTGATTGACGCATTTCAACGTAATTCACATGTTACCCATTTGAAAATGTCACAAATCCAGTGGTGTAGTCAGTTTTTTTCTAAAAAAATCGCTAGTAATTTTTTTAGATTTTTGACCTTGAAAAATCAGATTAGTTGGCCCTGGAAATGGAGATTTATTCATGATATTTGGTGTCCTAATAGACTTTTTGAATATCTACCTAACAAAAAAAAATTATTCCAATCGGTTGAGAAATGTAAGTTTTATAAGGGTGCTTCCATCTTAAATGGGTCACACTGTATATTATGTAACCGGGAAGTCGAATATGGAGGATAAAAAGACTTGCAGTTCTTTCTCGGAGACGGTTTTATTGACTCATTTATCGGAAATATAGCACAACAAAAGCCATCAACAGTGTATATATATGTGATATATATCCGAGAAAAAAGTAGTCACTTTTTTTTCACGGGAAAAAGGTAATTTATGAAAAGTGACATTTTATAACCTGCTAACAGAGATGAAATGCCATACTTTCTTTCCGTCACAAAAAAAATGATAAATTCAAATTAACTGCAATTTCTGGAACGTTAGGTAACTCTGGTAAGTAGAAAATTATGGTTAAAAGAACAAGATATACTATTTTGTTGAACTCACCGTTTCTTGGCAAAAAGACAGTTCAGACCTGCCTGTTTGTTTCAATGCTTTATATTAATTATCAGAAAATACCTACAAATATGGGAGTTTCAAACCACATTCTCCTTTGTTGACTAATAGCTGATATAGAGGTCTATTTAAAGTGAGATACTATCTAGCAATAAAAATTAGGAGTTTCCCTGGCGTTTTCATTAATTCATTCATTTTGAAAAATCCTGGCTATCCAAATATTTCAATGTGAGGAAGGGGACTATCAATCTAAGTATACTAGCATATCCATAGAATAATGAGTATTTTCTTCAAAGTGACTCCTGCACAATTCTATTGCCAGATAAGTTATATTTACATATCTCCTAGAATGTTTCCAATAAGTAGATTGATTTTGAAAGACAAGAAGAAACCCTCACTTTTATAGGAACAGTAACAGCAGAGATTATGTGTATAATCTCTGGTAACAGGAACAAGTATAACCCAATAGACCTAGCAGAACCACTTCAATATTACATATTTGCAATGGTGCTATAGTTTGTTACTAATCTAGTACTAATTTATTACCATATTAGAGAATTTATTATCCTTAATTCAACAGAAAAAACCAACTGCTCTGCTAGCTTTATGTCAACCTAGCAGAACCATAGCTGAAAATTATTTTTAACCATAATTTATTAGTATTTAATTACTACTATGTTATAAAAACAATGATCATGCATTTTTTACTCATCATTTGATGGGAAAAACGCCGATTTGTTTATCTGGATCTCAAACTAGTTGTGATAACAAATTGGTAATAAAATAGAAGAGTGGAAATTAAGGTATATTTCAAGTTTTCAAAAAACTAAATTCAATGCAATTGTTCTGCTAGGTTGACATGAAGCTAGCAGAGCAGTTGGTTTTTTTCTGTTAAATGAAGGGTTATAAATTTGAAAATGTGGTGATAAATTAGTAATAAATTACTAACTTATTGAGGACTCAATAGAATTTCAGAGAACATGTGATTCAAGTTTTGGTTTTGCTAGCTTGAGATCAAGATAGGCAATCTACTCTTTTTTCCACTGAATGATAAGTAAGAAATTTGTGATTATAGTAATGAGTTAGTAATAAAATAGTAATAAATCAAAAATCATGGTATATTTGAAGTTGTCAAAAAAATACATTTTTAGCTATGGTTCTGCTAGGGTGACATGAATTGAATGACTGTTAATAAATTCATGAATATGGTAATAAATTCAAGTCATTCTACTATGTTTATTGGGGTAATAAGTATTCAAAAGGAATATTCTCAGATATATTATAAACAAAAATTGATAAATATTGTTCTATTATTCCTCCTTCTATCCATCATTCAGTTGAATATCAATTTGTCATACATCTAAACAAAACCAGTAAGAGAAAGGTAAAGTATATTTATGTAAGTATTTAGATGCAGGTTTGTTTCTGGTCTGGTATCAACAGAAAAATTATTGTATTGTCATACTGGCCCCAAAACAATGAATAAGTGAGCAGTGGGACACTGAAGAAGTCAGTACCTTAAATAAATAATATTTAAATTATTTCTTGAGAAAAAAATTATTACACAAAAAAGTAACCACCCATGGTTGTCAATGGGCTTGGATCTTGAAAACTGGCCCCAAAAGGAAATTTACTACATGGTCTGACCAACTTTCATTCCTTCACACTATCATTTCCAGAAGTGTTAATTTCCTAGGATAATTGGAAAAGTCTAGCAAACCACTAGGACCTGCATTTCCTTTATTAAACCTAACACAAGCATGGAATGTTACTTACATCAAGAAAGAGACAGGATTGATTCTGCAGCAATAGATTGTCACATATTCCTAGACACTTCTAAAACTCCAATGTGAACATAGACTAATTATCTATCAATGAGATTTGCTCAAACAATATTAAAAAACACTCACCAAAATAAGACTCATGGAAGGTGAAAGCAAGCACTCGTGAACCAGTACTTCCTGCATCAATTACTACTGCATGTACAGGTTTGTGGTAGCCAAATTGCTTTGCAATAGTGTCTACAGCTCTATGGCCTATATACCATGGAATCTGATCTGTGTATAAAACTAGAAATGACCATTTTATATAGCACTTAGCAGTGATAAATTATTCATGCATACATACCTATAAATAATGTTAGAATTGTGCCACTCAGGATCAAACACAGAAGTGATGTATGCATTGAAGAAACAGTCTTATCTTTACGCTTTCGATTATTTGACTTACTTTGGCCCTCATTGTGCTGTTTATTCTGAAAAAGGAAAATAGTAGTATAGGTCGCGTGCACGATGACCGACCATGGAGGCAAAATATTGAAACACAACCTCATTCTTCTGTGAATTGTTGAAACACAACCTCATTCTTCTGTGAATTATTGAAACACAACCTCACTTTTTTATTTGGTTACAGAGGAATCAAAAGGTTGAAATAGTTTTTCACAATATTTTGGCATACGAATCGTGTTTCTTGCGTTATTCATTAATTCAAGCATGCCTTCGCATTGTGCTGTTGTACGATGCACAAAAAATACAGCAAGAGACTAAGGAATATGATTTTTCAGGTAAATAGTAATCTCACATAGTTAGCATTATGAAATGTTGTCATTCCTCATTAAAATTCCTTCTGCCTTCTGCCACTTCTGCAATACAAGCTAATGCTGCTAATAGATTGAAAATGTCTACAACACACACTATCGTCAGCATGTCAGACCAGTCCTACCGATTGATTGAATGAATCCAATCTTCTTGCATTATTCTAGAAATTTCAGGTATATTTCTATTAGTTGATCCTATTGCAGAAGGAATTCCTATGAGAAATCAGAGAAATAATCAAATTTCAAAAATGAAAACTATGTGAGTGACTATAGTAGGTACTTACTTTTGAATCATAATGTACCATCCGGATTTCTTCATCTTCCGCTGCAGTTTTTGTGCATTTTACAACAGCACAATGTGATGGCATAAGCGAATTGATGAATAGCGGAAAAATACGATTCATATGCCAAAATAATTGTGGAAAACTATTTCGATCACTTGTAAACAAATATGTTTTGCCTCCAGGGTCGGTCATCTGACAGTTCTTGCACGCGACCTATTTCAAAGACTGAATTTTTGAGGTTAGGACAGTAGTTGATCATTACTTACATTCATTCTCTGATATAGAAGTCCGTCCATTATAAATATTATCAAAAAATATATTAGCTTATTAGCTAGTAAGTAGTTGACTCTTGTGTATACATTATTTTAATTCCTTTTTTTTTATAAAAATACTCAATTTTGACTCAACAAAAATACAAAATATTTACCTTTCGTTTACGCAATTCACTGTTAGTCATCTTGGAATCTATTTTTACCCAGAAGAATGAAAAGATTGTTAGGTGGAAAAATTGTATTCATCCAGGGACAAGTAGTGGTGTGAATACCTACACAAATTATTACAAAATTATTGATTGGTGTGATTCTTTTCTGGTGAAACCCTGATTTAGGTTATGGTAATGATGAAGATAAATCGTGTACGCACTTTGCCCTTTATAGTCAAGGCTGATAATTCAATTTTCGTTTATCAATTTTATAATAAAATTATCTACGAACATTTTGAATTGATAAGTACCAGTCAAAAATATTTCAAAATTTCAGCCAAGAATGTATGCAACTAAGCGTACACGTGATAAGAAAAATAAAATGGGAGTGCCTCCATAGCCGGCGCCGGACGCATACTACGCAATCCTATCGCTAAAAATTGAACTATAATTAATTCTGAATAAACGAAACCTTCGTATCAGTTGATATCACAAAAACGACATTACTACGACACCGAGTCGAGGGTAGCAGCCACCCTATGGATTGAGCTACTTCCGCTGTAGAAAAATAAAATAAAATATGAATAAAATGTATAGGAAATTATATTCATTTCTCTAAATTTCGGACAATTTCTCTATTGGCTCCTATAAATAAAAATAGTATGTTTTCAATGTATTTGTAGTAAAGAAGAATCGAGATGATTTATGTTACTATCATGTGAAAATGATGGAAGCAAGATATGGTGCGCGTATTCGGCCCTTCTCACGTATTTCAGAAAAAGCACTCGACCGCCTACAATGATTTCTCTACGTCACAACGAGCGAGACGTTGATTTGCTGAGTTCACATGACAGCTTTTCGCGTTTTAGCTTACAGCGCTTTCGATTCTGATTGGTCAAAGATTGGTCCTATCGCAAGAAAGCGCTATTCAATAATGGATACCTACACATGCCAACTTTTGCCTACAGCGGAAAATTCAAATCAAAATGTATTGTTGTTTACTATATTAAATTACTACAATTTGGTTAAAATGGATATTTGGGCAATATTGATTCTGAAGCAGAAAATGATAATTAAAGCAGGAGCTCTTTACTACTACTATAGAGTGCATAAGCATAAAAAATTCAGACAAATGTGGGTTCGCCCCATACTTCTGGAAAGTCGTAAACAATCACAAGGTGCTGGAGATAACTTATTGATGGAGATGAGGTTGAATAGTACAGACATGTTCAGAAATTATCAGGCTCTATTCCATGGATACTTCTTTTCCTAACAACATCCTTAACATATCTCAGCAAGATATTGTCATCTGCAAACGACTATGGTTATCAAAATGTAATCTGTAGAAATGATAAAGAAATATCAAGTTGAAATGAATATTTACCATTCGATAACAGATTGTATGTTTCTTGTGTTACAGCAAAAGAAACCTCAATATTGTTGATATTCACATCGAACGGTATCAAATTGCTATCCATTTGTAAAATTCTTAGATACGAATTAGCACCAAAAACATAATTTTATTTTCATATAAATATTTGTAGGTTAGGTACGTTACAAAATGACGTTGATATATCATTCCATCCTTGTTATTTCATGCATAATATCAGCTTTTTTTAAAATGTTCAAACAGTTCGAACTTCCAACCTGCTTGACCTTGAACAGAGCTTTTTCGCAAAAGTACCAATAAGAATCGAGAGCGCTGTAAGCTAAAACGCGAAAAGCTGTCATGTGAACTCAGCAATTGCTGCTGTGACGAGTGCATATATATAACAGTGGGATTATTCAACTCTGAATTCGAAAAATCTGCGACAATTTCAAAACTGACAGATATCATAATTGTGCAATGTCGTCATCTATCAGAAGATCGACGGAACCATTGCTCTCACTGTTCTCGAGAGGTCGGGTAAAATTTCTGAAACAAACGCGCATCAGTAAAGACTTTCGGGTTTCAGGAAGGTTTTATCCGAAATGATGCCTCGTAACTTTTCAATATATATTATTCTGTTGGAATCATTCAATCACATCAAATTATATGACGAGGCCACAGTTTAATCACAGTATAGACCCTTCACAGTGATTTCAGTACATCGTGGATTTCAGCCAGCACTTTTCGTGTCCTAAAAATCGCATTGCGCATGTCCAGTAGCGTCTGGGGACTGGGGAGTAGACTTGCCATAAATTTCAAAATGGTGAGGGGAGTGCAGCGTGCGCTTCTTCGAGCTAATCCGAATATTAGTGCTTTTGTCAAGTCATTCGTTCGACCACGATGGTGATACCCAAGGTGATACCAGGATGGTCAGTGTTTGACCGTTACCCACGTACGTGAACCATCAAAAATAGAGAGTTGAAGTGTTGTCATGAACGTTAACGTAAACGTAGAAATTGACAGCTACGCATGCGCATTTTCCAATTCTTCACGTTTGCGTTGTTAGTGGGCTTACGGGTGTACGTTATCTCACGTTCCTTCACGTATACCTTAAATATCAACGTACGTTAACCAAACTATATTCGAAATATGCCGATGAGTCAAAATTATCAAATTCGAGATCACCAACGAGTTCTGCATCAAGGAGTCCTCTAATTTTGACAGGAATAAATGTTCGAATCTGAACACACAACCAAAAATGACCAATACAAACCGAAAACAAAATGTATTATTACGTTATGATGACAGTGACGACCAAAGTGGCGACTTCAACTCAATTTAACGACAATACGTAAACGTTATTTTTCGTGCGTTAACGTCGACGTGGAGGTCTACGTACAGTGATTACTTCAACTCTCTAATAACGTGGTTACTTTACGGCAGGTTTGAAACGTGACCGATATTCCCAAACAGCTGGTTGGTCAAACTCGGTCAGACTTCAGAATGGTCAGTGGTTGACTCGCCTCCCATCAAAAATAACGTGATAGCTTCGCGGGCAGGTTTGGAGTTTGACCGATATTCCCAAACAGCTGGTTAGTCAAACTGATGGTCATACTCAATACTGAACGTATGTGCCCAGTCAAACCACAGACTTGACACATATTCTTTTTTTATACTACCATAGTTACTACGGCTCGTGGCGTAGTTGACTGTTAAGCTTGTGTGTATGAATCTCACATCGGCGACCCGGGCTTAAGCATGCGACGGTCGGTTATTTTTTAATTCTTATTTTCCGAAACTAACAACTATACGAACTCAAAAAGTTGACTAATAAACAGAAACTTCAATGCGGGTTCATACATTTACATCTGTCATTTAAATGAAGAATTAAGAATTACAAAGTTGGACAACTTTCAACTTAACATCTTAAAATGATGGAATTCTGAAGACAGACAGAATATGAAGATTATTGGATTTGTTGTTCAAGTGGGTGATATTTGATTTAAATATTTTTAATGGCCGCCGTCAGACAGTCTAGATATTTACCCGTCATTGCTACTGCGCAAACTTCGAACCCGAATGAACCCATCCGTCAGAGATCAGAATCAACTTGGTTATGTCGGTTAGTAGTTTTCCGTTCCGTAAATATGAAATGTTCGGTTGGTTCCTGTAAAAAGGGTATTTACGGAACTCGGTTGCTGAAAAAGCGGTAGATTCACTGTCACCAGAACTAGGACCAGAACGACCGTGGAGTTTATCTGGTAAGTTCGATGAATTTGAGTTGACGTTGACGAGTTTCAGTTTCCGGTTTGATTTTTCGATTTACAAATCATTAATTTATTATTGCGTTGAGTTAAGAAATTCGATACATTTTTAGTTTGATGACTTTTTTTTCTAATTTAGACACTTTATTCGTTGCTTGTGCTTACTGTGTACAAGAATTAGATACTAATGGGTTCCATAATTGGAAATCAAATACTGACAGAGCATGAATTTTTGAAAAACGATCAAAACTATAAATTGGAAAACGACTGGCATTCCGTAAATGAGCCACAACCGTAGTCACCAGTAGATAACCACTGTCAAAAATGTCGGTACCGACCCTGAAAGCATCGGTAACTTTGGTTGATTAACGGAACATACCCCTACTAGCGAAATGTTTCTGCACGCAATGTATATGTCTCCTCCTTACTCACATGTGTTAAATAGAGGTGAATATACACTCAGTAGAGCAACACTCCACCAGTTCCTGCCAATGGAGTTCGCTATAAGGCATATCGATCATATTATTTTTGCTGAAAGAAAAATGGAAAAGGGTTAATGAACTGACCCATTTCTTCCAACGACACATTAGAGAGTTGAAGTGTTGTCATGAACGTTAACGTAAACGTAGAAATTGACAGCTACGCATGCGCATTTTCCAATTCTTCACGTTTGCGTTGTTAGTGGGCTTACGGGTGTACGTTATCTCACGTTCCTTCACGTATACCCTAAATATCAACGTACGTTAACCAAACTATACTCGAAATATGCCGATGAGTCAAAATTATCAAAGTCGAGATAACCAACGAGTTCTGCATCAAGGAGTCCTCTAATTTTGACAGGAATAAATGTTCGAATCTGAACACTCAACCAAAAATGACCAATACAAACCGAAAACAAAATGTATTATTACGTTATGTTGACAGTGACGACCAAAGTGGCGACTTCAACTCAATTTAACGACAATACGTAAACGTTATTTTTCGTACGTTAACGTCGACCTGGAGGTCTACGTACAGTGATTACTTCAACTCTCTATAATATATAAGAAGTCAACAAATCCGGCCACTGTAAAACTCATTCATTTCATTTTTATGCAAGTCATATTTTGGAAAATCGTAACGAAAGTCATTGTTATTGGAATTCTAACCCATGGCACATTCCTGTCACTTGTCATTACTCTTTCTCTTTTCAATATTTTTTGTTTCTCTCTCATTCATCCTCTTTCTTTTCCTTCAAAAAATTTTGCAAGATGGTGAGTGTCAGTGAGTTCAAGTTTTTGTGTATTTTCCGAATATTTTATTCATCTTCAGTCGTTTCATAAATATTTTTCTCATTGGATAATCCTCAGTTTGTATAGCTTATCTAATATGATTTATTTTCGGGAATTAACGTATCTGGAAACTATTAATTCAAAATTAAAAAAAAAACCTGGCCAGTCCAGTAAAAGAATAATTAAAATTATAATAAATCTTGAATTTTAGTCAACACACAAAAAGAAGACCAGGAAACTGAGAGGGCACGTTAGCCACGGACATGGACGAATCGGTGAGTGTAGAAAAATAAAGGCAATCAAAGAATCAAAACATGTTCTCAACATACTTTTCTCATTGATTTACAATTTACAATAATTATTGTGAATGATACCGAGAGTACACAACTTATGATGATTTATTGAACGGGCGGTATGATTTACTTGATTAATGTTCAATTGCTGATATTTCATCATATTCTTTTTTTTTATCAAGTTATCAAACAAAGTAATGAAAGTTATTAATTTTCTTTTTTAGGGAAACATCGTAAGCATCCTGGAGGTAGAGGTAATGCTGGAGGTATGCACCACCATAGAATCAACTTTGACAAATACCATCCAGGTTATTTTGGAAAGGTAATATTTATTACTCTGGCAATAGGATACATATCACATGTTGATTTCAGTTTTATCCTATCAGCATCTTGGTTACTTTTAGTGGTTCAGATTTCACTATGAGCTATAGGTCCTCCTTTTTTAAACCCTGCACAACTTTTGTGTTGGATTATAACTTTGAAGATTCTCTATGTATAATATACTTCAGTGGGCACTAAGTTGATCAAGTCAATGAATTGAAAATTAACCTATTTTGCAAAATGGTGGTATTCAGATCAGTCAAATGAATTGTTTTTTCTTTTCAGTTGGGTATGAGGAATTACCATCTTAGACGTAACACTAAGTGGTCACCAGCAATTAACCTAGATAAATTATGGACACTTGTTAGTGAACAGACTAGGTTGAAATATAAGGACAATGCTGATGGAAAAGCACCAGTTATTGACATTGTTAAAGCAGTAAGTACATTGTTCTCATGATGGTGATTGGAATATCTTTGTTTTCTATATAGGTCAAATCTAATAACTGAAATTCAGCTCAAATCTTTTTATACATTTTTGCACACAGCTTCAGTTCTGGTGGCAAGACTGGCAATACAAAATAATATATCTGTAATTGTTTTCAATTCAATAGGGTGGCTGTAACAGAATCACTAATTACTTATTTCTACACAACCCTCTCCAAATGATCTAATGAAAGGGATTGAAGAAGAATAATATGTTGTTCTAGTGGTGGACACCCTAGATGTCACTGAGAATCAGGGCTAGAATAGAAAAATAGAATAGAAATTTGTTCAATATAGGGTACATCCTAATATTAACAATTCCAATAGCATAACAACACACAGCATAACACTAACAGTTTCTTGATTAAAAAATATAGAAAAATTAATATCAACTTGAAGTTTCTCACAGTCTCACATTCTTTTATGCTTTGAAGGAGAGATTTATATTCTTTCAGTCCTTTATAAAACATTGAGTTCATACCCCTATTGGTAAGCATTCTGCTTAGGTGAAAATCATTTGGTAATCATGAATTTCTGCCCTTAAAATATTAAACTCATCTAGATAATCCTGCAATAAACTCTTTAATAGTTCATGATGAAAATCAATGCAAATGTTGCCAGTCTTCCAATCACAGATTGCCATTGTAATGTTTTCAACATGTTATGAATAGAGGTATGCCCCTTACATTTCAAAATTATTCACATTATCATTATTATCTAATAAATACAGTATTGTAGCACAGTAATTGAAATGTGGCCAGATAATAGTATTTTACCCTGTTATTTTAGTTTGGATGGGCAACACCTATGCTATTCTTGAAAAGAACAATAGTTTTTTTGATATCCTATCTATTATGAGGAAGTAAAAAATCCGAGAATTACTTTTGAATTGTTTGGATTACTTTGGAATTGTTGAATTAATTACAGGACCTATATATTTTGTGGCAATTTATATAATGATAAAATGATTGATTTTCAGAATATCATGCATTATATTTATGCATAATATGCATTTTCAATTTACATTTTTCAGAACCAACTGTAAGTTTATACAATCCTTAAGACTTGCTTAATCTAGTTTCATTATATAAACTCAGAATTTGTTTTATTTACTTTGTCAGAAAGAAATTGACAATATCAAATTTGAATTTTAATAAAGTTGATACAATTCATGCCCAGAAAACCAGGCAATTAAATGTATTGATAGCAAATAATTATAAGTTAAATTTTGGCAAACAATCAATATTCCATGGTGGAATAATTTTTACCCAATGAGTTGAAATATATAAAAGGAACCCAAAGATTCATAATCAATTGAAGAAATATCTGCTCAGTATACTTTAATCTCAGACTAATAATCATTCAGGATTTGATCACTGGAAATGGATAATAATATTTCCATTTTATTAATTTTCTTTTTTTTTTTTTTAATGAAAAACAATTGTGCAATAATTATTGTTCTGATTAATTATGTTATATGAGTGTATTAGACAAGCCATAACTGCTAGAATATTCAGTGTATCAAGATGAAATTGATTATGGTTATGGGGTATGTGAAGAGGAAAGTTTTCACATGATTTTCACTTTCTGGTCACTTCTTCCTTGTTCTTTCTTGTTTCTTTCTTGTTTCTTTAACATCGGACTTTTTCTTCTACTGAAGCTAATCACCGTCGCCGGTGGGAACACTACACCTAACCAGAAATTTGCCGAATCCTCTGGTGTTCCAACCAAAGGTAGGGATCTTTAAGGAGTCCCAACATCCATGGCCTCGGGACCGCCGGCTGTAGCTATGATATACTATTTCGCTACAGATGAGCGGGCTTAACATAAGGGCTTGACGCGGCGTTTTCTCGAATGGTCACCCATCCAAGTACTGGACGTTTCATGTGTTAAAAAGTTTGCATATTTGTTGGTCTCACACAACAATAATAGAATTCAAATTCCTTTTTGAAGTCAACTAACCGCGCTCAACACTTATCTCAAATATTGAACGGCTAGTGTCTTACCTGAGAAACTAGGGCTATGCCGGGTTCACCGGAAATAGCTCCGGTTTTGAATTCGTTCAGTTCCTGAGACAAATCTAGATATTTCAGTTTAAACTAGTTGAAATATAAGGTAATAATGCGATTCGTTCCCACTGGAAAAATTTTGAATTGATTCATGACTTAAGGTGAGTTCCCAATGCCGCGTTTAACGAAAAATATTTGACATGATGAAGTTGAAATATTTTAACTTTTTGGCGTTGCTGCTTTGTGCCGATCAATTTGAATGGTCATTTACCTAAGGTTATGTCCCAGAAATGTTTTTATTCATTATCAATTCTTTCAATGCAAGGTTTTCCATGAAAATGGAGAAATGTTTAATGCAACCCCATTAACACTCATTTCTGAGAGTGATCTCACAGATTAACAGTGAAGTACCTATACCTAATTATCTCATTTTCACTCTGGTATTTTCGTTTTCTATTGAATTATTACTTATCTGATGCAGCTCTACATATAAATCTTGAAGTAATTTTCCTACATTTTCAGATATTCTCATGATTTTTCAATGCAAACTTCAATGCCTTGGGAACTGATGAAAATAAAAAAACAGTGCAGCAATTCTCAATTTACGCGTCACCAATCCGACTGCTCAACGCATGGAGCGTAAAGCAAAAAAGCTGCATTGGGAACTCACCATTAGTCATTTGAGTTAACTCAAGAATTAAATCACTGACCTAATACTTGAGTATATTTTTTCACTTTATTTATTTGCTGATTATGTTTCAATTTCATGATGATAGATATGAACGGGCGGTCGTACTAATAATGCCGAATGTTCGTTTCACTGACACTTTTTGACATCATTTTAATTCAATGGGTGTATGAGGAGCATTAAAAATAATCTTGTTTCCAGGGATACTATAAACTCCTAGGAAAAGGTAGACTTCCCAACCAGCCTGTCATCGTCAGAGCCAAGTTCTTCTCCAAATCAGCTGAAGATAAAATCAAGGCTGTCGGTGGAGCTTGCGTTTTGAGTGCTTAAAGTAAGGTCATTGGATTTGTAATCTAAATATAATTGTTTTCCTATTTTGCGTCTTTTATGAAGTCATTATGACACCCAAATGCATATCAAAACAGCTTCTCTTAGGACATGCTGAATTTCTTGTTTCAAAGTTGGTAATGGTAACGTCAACGTCAAACTGTCAGACACACTAGCTAGTTCGTCTATGCCTTATGATATAAAGGAATAGAATTTTGAATTTTGCTTTCACAATAGAATATACTAGGTAATGATAATCCTAATTTTCAACTAATTCATAAAATTCTTCCTTTGAATTTAAATAAAAATGTACATCTACCATCAATCCAGTTTGACAATACTGCGATTTTTTCACTGGTAGCAAAAATATTTCTGATCAGCAGCAACATGGAACATCTTCAGGAATTTATGCTGGAAGAAATTCAAACTTTACTATCAATAATTATTCCAATAATCGAAATTGTTTTATGATGAATAATCAATTAAAAGTTGACTCTGTTGAAAATGAAACCTTCATTAAGTAATATTTCATGTTTATTTTGTGAATTATTCTGGTAGTAAAAAAAAACTTGACGCATCAATAGAGATGCAGAAATGTCAAGTTTATTTGACAGTTGTACAAAAATAACATTTTCCCATTAACTCCCACATTATCATTTTTTGAATCTTCAGTTCATTATTTTTTTATTATGGTTATATTTTGATCTGGAAAACATGTAAAAACCGAAGTTTTTGATAATTTTCTTCTTGAAAACAATGCCTCATTTGAGGACGCTGGAACAGGATCGATTTAAACATTGGAAATAGGTATTTTTACAAAATTCATTTATTGCAGGTTGCATTCAAACTTGAAGAAAAGGTTATTATTTTCCAATAGTTGAAAGATCTGTTTTTATTTGCAAGTTTGTGAAAAATAATTTCAACCTCAAGGGCATGCTATGATTAATGATACTATATTTATAAAAACGGCTCAATATCCTTTGGTTTTTGAATGCCAAAATGATGATAGGTATGAACGGGCGGTCGTAAAATCAATGCCGAATGTTCGATCCACTGACCATTCTCTATGATTTCCCCATCTTTTTGTTGAACAGAAACAGGTCCTCATAAAATATTTTCTGTTTCTAGGGATGCATGGCCTCAACATCTAGGGGAAACATATTTGAGCAACATGTCATCATCAAATCCAAAAATACATAAAAAACCTTGAAATACTGAAATTAAGGTTATCAATGAAATTTTGTATTTGAGTGCTTCAAATAAGATCAATAATGAATTTTTATAAATGTTGTATTGGTTTATTTTTGTGTCCACTCCTGTGTTCCTATATATTTAATTGTGATTTAACAACGTCCTCTTGGGAAATATTTAAAAAAGTTGAGCATACAGTGGAAGAAATTGAGTTTTCCTACGAGCGTGTGGGAAAGTATTACTTTTCCGCGCGAATTTATCGCGGTTAATACACGACAGCTGAGATCTAACCGGATATATTTAGTGGTTGTTTTCCGATACTTATACAGTGTGTCCCACTTACCATGCTCACCATGGGTATCTTTTAAACGGTGAGAGATACGAGGTCGGTTAAATGACACCAAATGTGGAGTTTGTCTAGGCCAACTATAATGTGAAAAAATATTTTGATAAAATCTATTTGTTTTTGTTTTATACGCAAAAAACAGATTTTATTTATGAAAATATTCAAATAGAAATTTCACATTCTCATGGCAGTTTTTCAAAGTGATTTCGAAAAAAATATGAAATTTATACCAACTCTTCTAGAATTTGAGATATCAGCACCAACTTTAGTTTTTAAAATGTAGGTCATAGCTCACTATGACTTAGTTACAAATTACTTTTTTTTTCTCTTACAGATATGTCGCAGTAATAGTTGTGTTGATAACAACGGAGTTATCGTCATTTATACAAAAACAAAAAATTATTTGGAAGCCGCCATCTTGAATTTATAACTTTTAACAAAAAAATCATGATCTCCGACCTCAAAAACTCCCACTTACCAATTTTGAATGGAATCGGACCAAATCCGCCATCTTGGAGCAGCCATTTTTTAAATTTCAACAAAAATTCCATAACGCCGATTAACTTGAAATTTGGCAGGTGTTCATAATTTCGGTGACAATACATTATGGAATTTTTGTTGAAATTAAAAAAAATGGCTGCTCCAAGATGGCGGACAAGATTTGGTACGATTACATTCAAAATTGATAAGTGGGGGTTTTTGAGGTCGGAGATCATGATTTTTTTGTTGAAATTCATAAACTCAAGATGGCGGCTTCCAAATAATTCTTTGTTTTTGTATAAATGACGATAACTCCGTTGTTATCAACACAAAACTATTACTGCGACATATCATCTGTAAGAGAGAAAGTTATTTGTAACTAAGTCATAGTGAGCTATGCGCTATGAATATTTTCATAAATAAAGGAGTTACGGAGGAGACATGAAAATGATCAAAATCTGTTTTTTGCCTATAAAACAAAAACGAATAGATTTTATCAAAATATTCTTGCACATTATAGTTGGCCTTGACAAACTCCACATTTGGTGTCATTTAACCTACCTCGTATCTCTCACCGTTAAAAAGATACCCATGGTGAGCATGGTAAGTGGGACACACTGTATATTTCATTGGCAATTCGACGAGAGCTGTTCTGAAAAAATCACGTACTGGGTGATTCACCATAAATGTCCACCCCTCTAGCTCACTTATTTTTTATTTGATTTGAAAATTTGGGATATCATCTCAAATGATTTTCGATAAAGTTTTCTTCCGCTACATCAGAAAATACAGAATGCTCGGAACAAACGATCTACAGGGTACTATTTGATTTTTTTAAATGGAACACCCTATATTTTTCATTGTATTTTTAGATTCTTCCTGAAGAACTGATTTGAACAATGCATCACACTTGGGGTCTAGCGAGAATGACAGAGAGATATAGGGTGTTCAAAATCCAGATTTTTCAACTTTACGATTTTTTTGTGACGAAACTATTCATTATCGGTCAAAACGGCTTTCATCTCCGTGTCATGACTTTTTATTTACTATCTACTGACATCTGATAATTGGAACAGATACAGGGTGATCAGAATTTTGAATCTTGAACCACCCTGTAAATGTTCCGATTAAATGTCAATCAAAACTTGAGATGGGGACATATATAGAAGCCGTTTTGACCAATAATGAATAGTTTCGACCCAAAAAAATCCTAAAGTTGAGAACATCTCGATTTTGAACACCCTATATCTCTGTAATCATTCCCGCTAGACCCCAAGTGTGATGCATTGATGAAATCAGCTCTTCAGGAAGAATCTGAAAATACAATGAAATACAGGGTGTTCCATTTGAAACAATCAAGTAGTACTCTGTAGATCGTTTGTTCCAAGTACCCTGGTGTTGTCTGATGCAACGGGAAAACATTTCTGAAAAATCATTTTAGATTATTTTTCAAATTTTCAAATTGGTTCAAAAATGACTGAGCTAGGGGGTGGACATTTATTGTGAATCACCCTGTACATGTATTCTTTATTATCTTCCGCATTCTGTTTCTTCATATTGAAGCCCAAGTTCATCAATATTCCTGCCACATATTTCACTGGCTGTTCGGCTTCCAAGCTTCGTTCACAAAATTTGCTAAATTGGTTCCAATTGGAGGAATTGGTTTTGGGGCCGCAAAATCACAAAAAGACGAGTTTTCCTAACTGGTTACGTAAAATGAGGTCAAAAGATCATCTTAGATTTTATGTCTTTTTAGACTTTATACAGGAAAACGAAGAACTATTGAAATTGATTTATATAAATTGTGATACACAGTTCATAACAAATCGAATACAACGAAACACAAAAGTACCTGCTATGTATGGTGTGCATGAAGGAAAATTTAATCTTGAATCAGAAATCTAGATTATCTTCAGCCATTTTCCTCTTTTTTTTTTTTTTTGAAAAATCGTCAAAACCTTTCAAAAGAGCACTAAAAAGTAGCATCATAATGTTGAAGTTATCTTTCCATACAATCAAATAGTTTTCGAGATATCTGATTAGAAAAACGATTAAAGTACAAAATTTCAGATTTTTTTAAATAACTCAGAAATGACTGAAGCTAGTCAAGATTTCTTGGCAGATTCTGCATCACGATCGAATTTGCTGAAACTTCTCCAATGTAACCAACTTTGTCTCACAGTTACCGAGATCCCATCAATGGTGAGGATCAAATTTGGGACACATATAATATACAGAGGGTGTTTCAAAAAAACCTAACCACCTTGCTAGGGTAGGTAGAACATTGCAAAATAGGTTGGGTTTGCTCAGTGAAAAAATGTCGTAACATCATCCGTTTTCAAGATACAAGGTGTTGAAAAAAATTTTTTTTTACACATTTTTTACGATTTATGTGGAAACTACTGACAACATTGTAATGAATTTTTTTATGAATATGTTCTGAAAGCTGACACACCGCATGAATTTGTTTTTATATCTGACACTCAAAGAGGGCGCTAGTTACACGACGGTTCGTACCGAGTACATTTGAACATAACTTTTTTGAGGTTAGATTTTTCAGTCTAATAAATTCAATATGAAATGCTTGAACACCATTCAATTTTATACCATGAGGCTCTTGGTAAAACTCGATACTGTGTACCGTTTTCGAAATATTTCGATTTGAAAATGCCGAAGCAATAACTCTGATTTTGGTATTAGAATACGTATTATAAAAAACAATTATTTATTTATTAAGGACCAAAAACATTAACATCATTTTACTGCTGAAGTTATCGATTAAACAAAATCGCATCAGAAAATATTTGATTAGATTTGACTAAAAACATTTAGTTAGAGTTGTGACGGCGTATTAATATCAATGTTTATGTACACATTGTATATGGGAATTTTGATTATTATTGTCAATGTGGCAGAGTCAGTCACAATTTTGAAAAAGAATAAAGACTTTCTGTTTGAAACTGAAATATTTGATTATCTGTAACATTGTGGTCCTTCGAGAACAACTTGGAGCAGCTATGGACGGAAAAGATTCGAGAAAAGAAGGAAGATCTATGAGAGGAAATGCAGGAGTCAATGCAAGATTGTCCTGTGATTTTCAGTGGCCCAAAGGGTTTGGAGAAGGACGTGATGTGAACACTTCATCCATGATAGAACCCAATGGTGCTCCTCCTCAGAAGAATGGATCTATCCAGGTATTGCAGAATTTAACAAGTCCAACTATGAATCCACCAGTTGCTATAGAAAATGTCAATGACAGTGACATGAACACCAGAAAAGACAACTCAATAAAAAGTAGTGATACTGGGCGTTCTGATATACTATCAACGAGAAGCAAAGCAACAAGCAAGTCTAGGAGATCACAAGTGTCTTTGTGTTTATCCAAGAAACGACTCGCCATTCAGACGGAACTAGAAAAGCAAGAATTAGAAAAGCAACGAAATGAAATTGAAAATAAAATGAAGATTCTTGAACTAGAACATCAATTGAGAGAAGCTGAGATAGAAGCAGTTGAAATTGAAGATAGCGAGTGTTCCAGTAAGGAAAACCAACGAAATCATGCCTGTTCTGTTACATCTGTTGCTCGATGGGTGAATGATATTGAAGTTGGTAAACATCCAATCGAAGAAAATGTAGAAGAAATAGTGAATCCACAATCAATGAAGAAAGATACAGCTACCACAGACATTCAATTACTGTGCGAAACACTTTCGAATGTCCTGAAATCGGTGTCCCCTGCTGGAAATGATAAGTTATTGGCAAGACATATAGTGGACAAAGATTTCCCAGTCTTTGATGGAAATCCTGAGAATTGGCCATTATTTCTTCAAAGATATAAACAAATTGTGAAGATGTGTCAATATAGTGATGACGAAATATTGATTAAATTACAAAAAAGTTTGAAAGGGGAAGCAAAAACTGCTGTAGCTGGTATGCTGCTTTTATCCAGTAACGTCGACTTGATCATGGACACCTTGAAAATGCGCTTTGGCAGATCGGAACAAGTTATCGAGATGATGATTTCAAGAGTCAAAGCCATTCCACATTTCCGTGATACGAATGCTGACAAACTGATAAATTTGTCACATGAAGTCAGAAATCTTGTAGCTACCATGAAAGCTTTGGTATCTTTCGATCACCTCCACAACCCTCAGCTACTGAAAGATCTGGTAGGAAAATTACCAGACATTATAAAACTCAGATGGGGCGAACTTCTTGTACAAAAGGAGGGAAGAGCATCTCTGGAAGATTTTTCTACTTG